CCGAAACGTCTTAACTCACGCACGTCGCATATTAAGTTAATAACAGTATAAGTTATTGCAGTTAGCTCGATAATAAAATCGGTCGTAAGCGTAAAATGTGACCCAGAATTTTTTAATTGCCGCATGGTTTTTGCGAGTTTCATCTTGGCTTAGACAATTAGACGGCAAAACGGATGCACACGTTCGTGTGCAAAACTTATCGGAAAGTTATATGAATCAGTTTTCTAATTTAGGCCATTGCAATCGAGTCCCAGAATTATCCTTATTCGTCGATTTCGATTCCTTGTGAAATACCGGACGTACTGATTCACGGACTGGCCGATCAGTTCGGAATGAAATTACGAAATTTCATCAAAATTTTGTACGCCTGACAAAATTTTTTAAATTACATCGCCTCGGGAACTGTGTCAAGTGAATATTTTTCGTAATTAGGTAACAAGTCGTCTTAGTGTTATGCTAATAAGCTCTGATATTTAGAGAAAAAAAAACGTACGTGTAATGTGTTTGTATATTTTGACAACGTCATTTTAATTTATTGACTCGATTAATACCCAAGTGACTGATAGATAACGGGATGTCCATGCCTTAATATTTCGAATAACACAACTACTATTGCTTGCATTTTAGTGTATGTACTCTTTATATAAGGTTATAAACTTTTAGCAAAATCTTACATAATTTGCTAATAAAAATTACAAATCGACTAGATGTATCGAAGCTACCTGAAAAATGGCTTAAAATCCAAAGCAAGTACTAAAATAGATAAAACAAAGCATTTTTCAATTCAATTAATAATAATAATGTATTAATTATATATAAGTGGAAATTATACTTCCTCACTAAACTTACTTATGTTAAATATGTGATACATGATAGGAGGACATTAATCGGTAACAGTTAACGGTTAAGTCCGAACAGTATACACACTAAAAAACAAAGCAATAAAAAAGTAGAGAAAAAAAAGTAGAGAAAAAAAAAGGAAAGAAAGGAAACTTACGTCAAACTTGTACCTATTATCATTTACATCAATTTTATTTTTTCGTATAAAAAAAATGTGGCAAAATTGTTATGTTAAATAGAAAATCATTTTTGAAGGAGAATCTTTAGTTTTAGGTTAACAATAAGTGAATTTTAGATAAATTAGAGGGTTATTCAGGATCCGAGAGGGGGTCTATGAAAAAAAAATTATTTGGTTAAAAAAAATTCGGAAGTAAATTTAATCTTTTTTTTTGAAAATCTAAAATTTTTGAATTTTTTTGAAATTTAAGTGGGAGTTTTTGACCGACCCCCACCCCCGCCCTTAAAATTATTTATTTATTTATTTTTTAAAATCTGGAGTTGGTTGTATGAGATCTTCATAGCAGGCAGTGGCAAGGGTTAATTAGTTAGTTACGTTTGCTTGGCTTTGTTTGAATTATTCAGATATATCTTAAAATTATTTGACGCCACATCTTTACGTTTATGGTTCACTGCAATATCATTATTTATATATATTTATATATGATTTTTTAAGTAGACATTGTATTTTCTGTTGTTTTATTTTTAATTGAATTACTTCTAAAAATAGATATGGCCTTATCGAAAGCATATAACATCATAGCACAATTTCTGCTCCCATAACAGTAATGGATGATATTATCATAGTTTATTGCATGGTATGCATTCCTGCAACTATAACGTATCGAAAAATCTGAAAAATAAATTATAATTTAATAGTGACATTCACTTTATAAGTACCAGAAATAAAAATAAATTATCTAAACATAAAACGGCTATTTTTAAGAAAAGTTTTATTAAACAACTTTTATCATATCTATGTTTTAAATTTAAATTCTCATTTGAAAAACAGACGAAATCACTAGGGTTTTATCGCTCAACTTTTTTTAAAATTTCTCTTGAAGTGTAGTTTCATATTGCAAATTGTACTTTATTAATTGCTGTCTACTTAATAAATTTTTATTTTTTTAAATCATTATTTGGATGTTTATTTTAATGGTCCCGATAGAGTTCGGTATACAAAGCTTCGTCTTCAACCTGGGGGCTAAAATATAATCGCTATATTCTTTTTATTTAAAATAAAAGTCGGTTATTATTGTCTGTACATGTGAGGGACATCTCGTCATTTTTTTGTTTTTTTTTTAATTTAATTCATAAGATTTTTAAGCTGAAAAGTTTATTACGTTGTTTTGGGATTTTAATCAAATATTATTAAACAAATCTGCCCTGAAAGGAAAGATATTGAAGTGCATCACTTCACAATGTTACTTCTCGATTGTTATAAAGCTTTCAAGCATGTCCGGGGTTATTGATAAATTTTTCTACGCCTGCAATCCTGCAAACTAAATCCAATTTGAATGCATGCTGCTTGCTTAGTAATATCATTTAGAGAAGAAAATTAATAAGGTCTTAAACCACCACAAAATATATCATAATGACGTGACGCTTGGCAAATCAAAAGCTGTTAAAAAAATGTGCACAATCATACAGTACGTGATGGGCGAGAAACGAAAACCGAAGAATCACCTAATGAAAGGGCTCTTTGGCATTTTTTTCATTCGACACCTTCAGTATACACGACGCCATTGTTCTTGGAAGTACGAAAATGTTTAAGCACCGCGTTGTATAACGCCAACTTGACTTTAAAACGGGATGAACAACAACGCCCCCTAATTTATTATATTTCTGTTATAAAATTACGCAACGTTCCAAATTTCACTTTCCGTTGCTAAAGAAACCTTATAATAATAATAAAAAATATTGGTCAGCGATTCAAATCGATTGCTATACCGTATGTTGCGGAAAAAATACGATGACGCGTTTGAATTTGGTCTCGATATTTATTAGACGATGAAAGTGTGGAGTCGGCATCGCCGATAAAATAAATTTCGCATAATTCATCAGCAATCGGCAACAATAAGTGTATAAGATAGTGCCGACATTTAAATGTGAAGGTAGCTGCATTATTATAAAAGATATTAAGTATTTTTTATTATTGTTTCCTTCGCATCGTCTAGTTAGTTATCAAAAGCTTATTATTAAACACTTAAGTAGACCGTAGACCGTTTTCTAGCCTGTTGAGTTTCTTTTCGTCCTAAATAATTCGTATATTAAGACTTAGCAAACGAGCTTCAATGATTTTAGTGACAATGATTAATGTTGAGTGGCGGAAAAAAATATGGAAACTTTTTAATTAATCATGAGCATATCTGTTTCTGCAAATGATTGGTATCCTTTACATAATTATAATGTAATTTCAAATTATGAAGAAATTTCAAGTAAAAGCTGGAAATAAATATGAAAAATATTTTACGCAAATATGATTTGTTATTTTTAGTATTTTCTATCCTCTAAGACGGCCTGGCATCTAGCCATAAAATCAAACAAATTTCATAGAATTTGTGGAGGAATTTGCGACAACTCTGATTCAATTATACTAAAAAATTCGTGCTGATTCAATGACATATTTTCTCTCTTCTGCAGACGGAAGAATCGTATGCTCCAATATCTCTTGTACTGGAATTATCGGCCGCCCTGTCTCAGATCGAGAAGAACATCCCTAAACCATTATATTCCCTCCTCTAAGTTCCAACCGGTTTTCTTACATATTGTCTACCATTAGATCTAAACAGCCGTATTCCATTTTTCTCTTGATCAAGACTATTTGTCCTTCGAGAGAAGCAGTTTTTTAATAGAAACTCTTCTATTATGAAGACCTCCGTTGATTAAATATTTTTAATTTGTCTCGATCCTGAAAGTAGTTGTACGAGGTCTTCTCGCATCATAGTTTCGCATTAAGGTTTCGTTGCAGCACTTCTAGAATTATTTATGGACCATAATTATCAACTCAGATGAAAAAAACAGTGACTGCAAGATAAATAATTATTTGTGCACAATGTTATGACTGGACAATTTAGAACACAAGCTACAAAAAGTTTTCATAGTTATTTCCAACCACAAATTTCTTATCGCAAAAAACACAACAAACATTCCTTTACATTTGTTAAAAATGACAATGGAGTCTCATTATTAAGATATGCGGTAAATTGTTTGGAGATAACTTTTTCACCTGAGTTTTTATATTTATAATTATTTTTGAGTAGCCGCCTGGAGCACGTTTCTGAACCTGACGTACCTTTTACCTGTGATTTACAAAGGTCTCCGATTGACATTTTAGTCAACTTAAAAACCCCGCGTAAATTAATTGTCGAAAGTAATTAATTAAATTGTAAAGTGCCAGTGGCGATTGATTAAGGTTAGTGTCAATGTTACTTTCTCGTATATTTTTTGGGTCGAATTTTTGTGTGCAATTGTCAACGGCCAGCGTTCGGGTTGGCAAATTAATAATCAATCAACATCGACCTTTCACTATTCGCTATTCAAAATTCATATACGCACTCATTGTGGCAATTCTTTTCACATATCCGCACGAAGCAAAGTTTACGGATGTGACGATTTATGATTCTGATTGATTAAATCGGAAACGAGAATTTTCTTATTGACATAACAGCCCACCACCTCAAACATTTTGATAAAATCGTAAATATGGCATTTCGTAATAAACGGACACCCATAAAGCGCGCGTTGCTCAATTTTAAATTTCGATCCATTTTTTTTTTGTATCGAATCGGTTTCGAAAACATCTTGCGCCATTGTTTATAACAAAACGTAAGCGATAAGTTACCAAAAGCTACCTAAATGGTCGTGAAATTTTGAAACCATTCGAGTCGATCAAAACATAAAAATTTGTGTCAAAATTCTGCAAAATTGCACGTTTCAAAATAAAATATGTACTAATATTTAAAAAAAAAAATCTATCTACAAGGAGAATAGGTTGTAAAATTACGTTTAAAATTTCTTAGAAAATTTCATAATTTATTAACGAAATAGTATAATAATTTGAAATTAATTCATTTTAAAAAATTGCTGTCTGGATTGCGCCAAAAACAGTTCCTTTTGTAAATTATATATGTATATATATGTTTTTGTAAGCAGAAGCGTACCCCTTATTTTCCCGCTTTCTTCTCGCCTTGGTAGTTCCTTTAATAGTTCTGTAGAGGGTAATCATTCTGCGTTGCACGACACAGGGACGCACCACCAATGAAAAAAAGTAATAATAATAAAAAATTTGAAATTCGCGCCCTCAAACAGATCGAAAACGCAGCGGCAGCAGCAGCACGCAATTCGCGACGATCGGTACTACACACGAGTAGTACCGCGTGCTTTAGAACGCTGGTTAATACTGAAGAGTGTTAACAGGCATATCGTGCCGCCAACGTCACTATTGTAAACATACGCACTCGAAAGGGGCAGAAAACTTACAGGGTGGGAACGTATTTGTCTCTAGACATTGAAGAATTTTTAATATTTTAATCAACAATTTCCCTTTTTTGTCCTGCCGTTTTTACGTTGCGGGGTACTTGAAGTTGAAATGGTACCTTGCGTGTGATTTTTCTAAAAAATCAAAAAGTCTTTTTCAATTTTTTTAGTTTTGTAGTAACTACGTATGTGTCTTTTTTTACCAAGTAGTCATATTGTATAGCACGTGCGTTTTATTTTTGTTTTTTTTACTTCTTGATATTGATTACTCTGACCTCTATTTTTCTTCATATACATTTCTATACACTATTTACAAATCTTCTGGATTCCTCCTGCTTCGGTTATTTATAAATCAAACTTGCTGATGTTTCGCCAGTCATCCTGTTCGCCTCTTCAGAATTTAACTGAAGCTCTGAGTGGCGAAACGTCAGTAAGTTTGTTTTTTCAAAGGCTACTGTAATACTTTTTATAAAACTTCTGGATCCCTCCTGCCTCGGTTTTTGCTGATTCGAACTTTCTAAGGTTTCGCCAATCATCCTGTTGGCTTCTTCAGAGCTTGACTGAAATTGTACTCTGTACCGGCTTATATATTTATAAGGGGGCGGAGCTAAATTAGGGGCATAAACACGGTCTCAGATAACTGATTTCCATATGATGACAGGTACAGTCCTGAGTCCTGAGTCCTGAGAATTGTCACGTTGTTTATAGAGTTCTATAGACTCTCGGATTTTTTTTTTTTTTGATTACATGCAAGAATTTTAGTTTTATCAACTGCTGATGAGTTTATTTATCATAGTCTTAAGGCTCTTTAATGTTCTTTGAGCCTAGAAAAATTTCGGTCAAGCTCTGAATAAGCCAACAGGAAGATTGCTGAAACGTTAGCAAGTTCGACTCAGCAAAAACCGACGCAGGAGGAATCCAGAAGTTTCGTAAAAAGTGTCAATTAGTTTGATTTATATACAACCGTTGCAGGACGAGTCCAGAAGATCTGTGAAATAGTATAAATGTATACATTTGGCATTAAGACGCGGATACTGTAGCTAAAGCGTTTGGATTTCTTGAAAATATGAACCAAAGGTATTCAGATTAAATTTTAATCGAGAATACTCTAAAAATATTTTTTTCCTGTTTATTTTTACACCCACTTGTATTTATGATATATATATATATATATATATATATATATATATATATATATATATATATATATATATATATATATATATATATATATATATATATATATATATATATATATATAAAATTGGATTCGATAAAAAACTAGCAATTTGCAGATTTTAATATATTCATTTATTTTTTTTTTTTGTAATAAAATTTTTAGTCGAGTATAGGTAAAAACTTTTTTCTTAGGATACTTTTTTTGCAACTTTTAAAAATACGGGTTGCATATGTTCAAAGAAAATTATACTGCAACAATAGCATTTTATTGTAGCTTAAGGAAAAATAAAATTGGCGATAATTTTTAAAAAATACGATTCTTCTGAAACTTTTGGAAAAATAGCATTTAGAACCACCAATTTCCAGAAGGTGGGAAACATAGTCTAAGCTTAACTTCCATCTATTTGAACCACTCCGTATCTTTAATGCTTCCATTGAGTTGAATTTGAAATACCTCGCACTTGCACTTCAAGAGTTAGTATGATTTGCTGAACTGACTTTTTTTTTTCAGAAATCTTCGGCAGCTGCTTCTTCATCTTGCTGTAAGGCTTTTTCCGCGTGGAATCCTAAGGTAGTTTAATGTATTTAAAAAAAATAATGTCAATATTTAAAGGGTTCAATTTTTTTTCAGAAAACGTCCGAAAACGGATTTACTTGGGCTCTACAATGTTCCAACAGGAATTATGAGTTATGTTTTTAACTCTTTTTTTCGAGCCTCGAAGGTAAGGTTAACTTTGCCCCGTACTGGCACTGTCCGTATCTTTATTCTTCATCAGAACTGTGAGGTTTTTCCATGCAAAATTTTTAGGTAGGATTTACCGCTTTTTATTTTAAGCTTTCGGTAAAAAAATATTTTAGCTTTTTTATTTATTTGGTACTATGGATGGGCACATGTGAAACAAAGTCGTTTTTCTTGGTATTGTTTTATTTGAGATCTGATTCATTGTATTTCTATTGTTCATATTACGTGTAAATATGGTCATGGAAAAAAGGCATGTGCGCATATAAAAAAAATTTCTTTGGCTATAACTACGAGCTTAAGTTTACAATATATACATATACAACTTAATACTACACATCTAATGTATATAAATAACAATTAGTAAAAAATGGAGCATCTCCAAAATATACAAACATTAACGTATTTTTTAACAACATCCATGGACGGCATAGTTTAATCGTTCGTACTACGAACACAATTGGCGATGTTAAAATTGCAATTCGCAAACTAGCTTTTATTGGCACCAAACACTTAAACCTGGGGCAACATGGTTCTATAAATTAAAATGGTACTGGCGGTTTGCCGTCGACGTTAGTAGCGAGAAAAATTGAAAAACTGGCGACAAATTTTCATGTCCATTTATACGTCAGTCTGAGGAACACCGCCTTGTAACATTTGAGATTGGGATTTGCTTCGACTTCGCGGTACCATTACGGGTGTTCCTTTTCTCGGCGGTTCGCTACTGGGCGTCGTGCTGACAAATCCCTGCATTTCTTTTAAGGAGACTGTTTGGAATGACGATGCGCTATCTGTCCGCGGTGGCGCCACTTTTGTTTTGTACTTTTCGGGATAGTCGTCTGGGGTTCGACGGTTTTCTATACCTTCCTCGTTTTCCGTATCGGAGGGATACAGAAATGGATTGTAGTACCTATCAGAAGATCTTAAACAAACGGACAAACCCAGCGAAACTATGTTGGAAGGTCAGAAAGCTCGTGAATTGAGCTGCTTAGGACTAGGGTCTCTCATAATTCATTAAAAAGGCGTGGTATATATTTCTAGCCGTTAAATATGCTGGTTAAGTGAAGCTACAGTGGGTATTATGCGTGTTTAAAATATAAAATAATTCAAATAATAAGGAAAATATGATTCGATAATATTTAAAATTAATTTTAAAAATGTGTTTGCAAAACCAAATCAATAATTAAGAGAAAATAGTAAACGCCTAATAAAAATTACTCTCATTATTAAAGCTTCAATAAATTTCAATAAAAGAAACTTTTAAAAATCCTTTTGCAAATTCGTTTTTCTGACTCAATTATTTTTTTGGGAAACGTTTAAAATTCGTAATTGGAAACTATTGTACAGGTTCTAGTAGGTATTGCGTCACCCGAGCCAAACCGATCGGTACATTTGAACTACTCCGTATGCCTGATATATATTTCCATATAAAACCCATTATACCTCAAAATACCTCTTCTATACCTTCATGAGCGTTAGTTATAATGGGATATATGTTACAATTATTATTACAATATTTCAACATTACAATTACAATGTCTGTTTGACCCAGACACGTAGGTTTAAAAAACCTGTATGTGTGAAAACCCAACATTAACTGTAATAATTCAATCCTAATTAAAATCAGAAAAGTAAAACTGACTAAACCATTAATATTAAGCATACCAGCCAAACCTGGAAGAGTTTTCTAGATTATAGTTTCGGCCTCTCCAGAAACTGTCTTAATTTTTTTAATTTTTCTTACATTTAGGAAGCAGATTATAAAATTTTCGTCGTAAATAAATTATTGTCTGCTGATTAATAGCTCGATTATTTTTAGGGATAATAAAATTTCTGTGAATATTAGCTCTAGTTTCATAATTATGGTTAATTAGTGCCTTCCTGGAAGACTTTTTATGAATGTACATTTACTCGATGTAAACAGTGTACTAATACTGCAAATATCTGTGCCATAAGCTAACGCAGTAGAGTAAAATTTCGGTCTTTTAAACATAATTTGAACTATAGCATTTTATATTACTCTTAGAGGCTGAGGATGAAGACTGTACGTTCCCCCCATATTAGAATTACATAGAAGCGGTTCAACTACTGCTTTATAAATAAGTGTGTATGGAAGCATATGTCAGATATACGGAGTAGTTCAAATGTACCCATTTGTCTGACCCTAGCGACTGAACTCGTTTAGACCCAGCAACAGCACTTTTTTATTATACTTCCATTTTTGGTTTTTCTAATTAAAAATGCCATCAACATCGCGTAAAAAACCGTTAATCTAATCGATTTTTAAAAAAGAAAAGTTTGATTTCGTATAAAGTTAGGATCAAAAAGAAAAAAAAAATGTTTCTTTTGTTTCAAATATGACTTCGAATTGATTCTTTCAGTAAGTCTAGCTAGACTGGTAATTATGAGACACGGCTAGTAATGTTAGAGACAAAGCGCGTTAGTTCTAATAGCGAGGAAACCTTATACAAATCCCCAAACAAAAACATTTGCCAAAAGTTTCCTTTACCTTTCTTACCTCTTAGCGTTCCTCCACAACATGCAACAAAGTACCAGGAGCACGATCAGTAGCAAACAGAATCCGGACATGCTCCAGAACGCGATTTGCAGCGGCGTCCGTGGTTCCCACCAGAACTAAAATTGCGTATGTGTAAAATCACGCACTCTTATTTTTTGGTGTCAAATATTTACTTCTGTGGTCGGCGGATATGTAGGAATCAAATGACCAACCACCGTGGGCAGATAATTCGTCCAAAAAGCTGATTCGGTTTGCCGAAAATTCCACATCACCGAAGAATTATACGTGGTGTTCAAATTAAGGTATTTCAGTTGTCCATGCTTGCATTCCTCAAAATGCAACCCCAATATTTGCGTGTAAGTCGGATTTCCGTATCTGGCGAAATCAGAATACGCTTTCATGAAAAAATGGCTCATGTTTCTGTCGTTTCTCGTCCATTGATCCCTCACGAATCGTTCTTTCGGCGGTAGCATTTCGACGTCTAAAAATGGCGCCCCGCACAACAGGTAATGCTCCAAATTATGAGGCACTTTCCTCCATTCGGGATATCCGAAGGACTCTATTGTTGTGTTTAATACGTACATGTAAACTGGTACGTTTTGTTCGACTAGAAGTTTGATCATTTTGTCATTGGGCGCGGTGTAGAGAAAATCGGATAATAACTAAAATTAAATCAGTAATTTTCATGAGAAAAGTTGATTGGATTGAGAGTGGGTCTAAAGAATACCTTTTTCTTGTATTGTCGACGTTTTCGGGACATGTTTCAAAAATCAGTATTAAAGCACACTAATTGATTCAAATTAAAGGGCTTTTCCCTTGTAATTTGTATTTTTTTTTTAATTTCTTTAGGTTTTTACTTGTATTTTGATTTCTTTTTGTTTCATGTAATTTCTCTTTATTTTTGGAAATGTTACCTTATTCATAACTTCATTCATTTTTCTTTTCGATTTTTGTATTAATGTTTAATGAAGTCATTATTATAATTAATAATAATAATAAGATAATGTATAATAATATGTCACAATACGTATTTAAGGTTAATTAACTGGTATGCAGTTTGAAACTTAATTAATTGAAAAAAAAGGAAAATTTCCGAAAATTAACAAAACAAATAAATGTGAGTTATTAAAAAGTTTTTTTTTTAATGCTTTTTGTTCCTAAAATAATTTTAATTGATATTTCTGTTGACACAGTTATAGTTCAAATGTTGCCAAAACGTTGACAAAATAAAAAAATGACTCTCTTTAAACACGATTTAATGGCGCCGTTTTACCTGTATATATTTTTCGCGAATCATAGTCGTGTTTTGCGGGTCGGGCCAGTACGTATACATATATTTAATGGCGTCGAAGGTACCGTTCGGGTTTAGAGTGTAATTGTATCGCAGGACAAGTTCCCAAACCTTTTGGTCGAAGAATTGTTGGTCGATTTCGAAATGCGGCTTCAACGTTTCATTAGAAGCTAAAACCGTTATATTAGGACCAAAACTTTTAAGATGTGCGAAAGGTCTTACTGAGAAATGTTGCCGCTTCTTGTAACGTCACACTGCTCATGTATCTGAGTCCTCTGTTGAACATGCGTTTTCGTATTAAATCTTCCACGCTTTCGCTTATCAAGTGCCAATCTTTCTCGTACCATCCCTCGTAATAAGGCATAGAAACGTTCATTTCAATAACGGGTGCCCAAGGAAATAGGCCCACGTCTGGCGGAAATTCCGCATTTCCAATTTCGATGGCACTTCTTGAATTTTTCAAGCAGTTCACTAGTCTCCAAGATGACTCTATACTGCAACCGATTTGTCTGCCGTAAACTCTGCTCGTGTTTTGCGCTCTGTAACGGTCGAAAATCATCGCCCAATCAGCAACGGCCGATCCGCTCTAAAACATTATTTTTAAGTAAGAATTTCAATTCCAGAAGAGAAAGATCTGTTCCTCAAAAATGACATTTAACTTTTACACAAGCAAGTTTTTCAAAATAACTTCCACATGCTACTGTAATACTTTTTACAAAAGTTTTGGATTCCTTCTGCGTCGGTTTTGGTTAAGTTGCCAATCATCCTGTTGGCTTTTTCAGAGCTTGACTGAAACTGGCTCGCATTTTACTCTGTACTTGCTAATATATTGTTTGAGGGGCGGACTGATTCCCATATTGGTGACAGGTAAAGACCTGAGTCGCTGTTAAGATTGTTAGGTTGCATATGGACTCTCGGATTTTTCGTTGCTAGTTCTGTCACCAATTTAGCTCATTTATCTCCGCCCCCCTCAAACAATATATAAGTAGGTACAGAGTAAAATGCCAACAGGATGATTGGCGAAACGTTAGAAAGTTCAACTCAACAAACAAAATTTACATACGCTGTAAAAACAACAAATTGTTTTCGTACAGGCCCTTTCTACAGAGGAATGAAACCCTAAAGGACGCTGCTGGAAATTTTTTATTCTTTAACAACTTCTAAAGAACTTTACATAATTAAAAAAAAAACGTTTAATTGAAAAAAAAAAGGTACAGTTGTGTAATATCGATAAAATGATGGGATAAAAAAATTATTAATAAATTATAGTTACATATTTAATAAATTATTATCGAAAAAAAATTTAACCTTTTTTTTCGAATTTGTACGATAAAACACTGTTTTCATAATAAAATAGCTTAAATTGAACACATAAATTATTCAATTGCTGCTACCTTAAATGGGATAGGTTTTTCAAACTATTTCAAGCCTTTTCAAAAATGAAACGATAATTAATAAAAAATGCGCTTTTGCATACGGAAATTATTATCAAAATGTCGTTTTTAGTATTGCGTATATAAAAATAATGCATAATTTTGTATTTACGCCTTTTTAATGTAGTTATTAAATAAGTTTCTCCTGTTTGCTCAGCTTTTAACGTATTACTAATGTGAACTAGGTATCAATAAAATAGTTGCTGAATTGAATGACATACCTGAGCGATCACTTTGGAAACGATATTCCTAGTTTCCGGGGCGACCATAAGCAACCCAGCAGAGGCAGCTCCGGCTCCAGGCCCGAACAACGTAATGCTTTCTCTGTCTCCGTTAAAATTTTCGGCATTTTCGTATACCCATTTCAGAGCCATCACTTGGTCTAAGACACCGTAATTACCGGGTGAATTGATGTCCCCAGTACTGAGAAATCCCAACGCTCCCAATCGGTAATTAAATGTCACTACCACCACTTTGTAAAACGTGGCTAATATGTGGCCCGGGAATAAATTTGAAGCTCCGTGAATAAAATCCCCGCCGTGAATATACACCATTACCGGATATTTTTGGGCCGTCCCTTCGTGCTAAAAATTAAGGATAGAATGCTTGGCGAATTTAGAAAATGCAAAGATGTTGAATTTACGAAATTGCCTTTAAAATGGAGCAATAAAAAAATAGTAATGATCATTTACGTTTAAGTATTATAGATAGGGTGGAATATTGAAAATTTCTTGTTTTTAGGAAACGGTTATTAGAGAAAATTTTGGGTTCCAGTTTTGATCGACGACATTTTTTACTTTCTTTAAATGCGGGCAATACTGATAGTTCTTCTTGTATTTTGGATCCAATAAATAGGTAAAAATAATTACGAAATTTCTGATTACCGTCTATTGACTTATTGTATGTGCGACATATTTTAATGAGGTTAACTATAAATGCAGCTCGCCAAATTTTTTTTCTTGGGTTGAAAAATCACTAAAAAACATTTCCGCACAAAGAAAAAATTGCATTTTGCATTTTATATTAAGAAAAAAGACAATAATAATGGGCTATAAATTAACATAATCTTTTTAACTACTTTAAGAAAGTTTATTCGGTTGTTTTTTAATTCCTTGAATTTTAAATCAAATATTATTTTCTTATAAAAATAGTTTAGTTGAATTAATTAATCGATCACCGTCAATTATTTATGTGGCAATGCTTACGATGTCCGGTGTAAAAATGTTGAGATATAAACAGTCTTCGTCCATGTCGCGAACTCCATTTGTGACGCCGACATATTTGATCGGTTGCGGACATGCCGGCCCATAGTCCACCGCCTGGACTATTTGCCACCCTCGATGCAACCTAGGTGGCTAAAAATGAGATGAAATAGTTTTAGAATAGGATTATATAAAATCACAATAAATTCGGAATCTCTTTGTGTCCAGTGCTTCTTGAGCCAATTGAATTTTGCGACACATTTTGGTTAGTTTAGGTTGTCCAACAGTTAAATGTTTGAGAACCTTTAAAAATTAATCGCCAGATTTATTAGGTGATTCCTGTAATTAATAATTGTCCAATTTACGCTACCGCTTACCAGATGGCAGCGTATACATCGAACGAGGTTGGAAAATAGTTGATGTAAAAATTTTTAAAGCGTTTTCAAATAAAAATAAAAACAATATATATTTTCATTGTCAACACTTTTTAAATAATAATTGTTGTTATGTTTTCATGTTTGTAATTTTGAGGGCGAATTTTAATCAGACACTTCGTCTTGAATACATATGAATACAACGATTTAAATGCGAAACAATGACGTCATAGAAGTCTTGACCAAGGGACATTTTTCGTGAAGAATGTTTTCAGCACTATTAGGTTATAGTACATTTTTTTGACATTTTAATTATTTACCGCTCCTCTTTGTGTTATGGTTGTTGTGTTCAATATTATTATTAAATAAAAAAATTATTAGCCGGCGATATCCTGGTTAACAACCGCAAACAATGCTTTATTGTCCATAGTTAATTAATTAATTATCATTTGTCACTTTATTTGTTTGTTTTGGCGTTTGACTATGACTGTAAATATTCCATTCAATTGAAACCACGTCAAAGTATTCACTGAGTAAAAATCGCCCCAATTTTTTTTGTATAAATCTTAAATCAATAGTTAAATTAAATTGGAACCCAATAATTACCTTAAATCTACCTTCATACACTGGTGGTTGGGCGTAGGGTATCCCCAGGAACACAGAGGCGATTCCCTGTTGCCGTTCAATAAATTCGGAACCGGGTCTGTATAGAGATTCTGGATCGGGATTGTCAAATATGTACAGCTGAAAGCCCTGGACTTCCCCGTGAGTGGTTTTAACGAAAATATCTCGTTTCAATTCCTTAGTTTGCTCTCTTCTTTTACCCTGGAGATCTTCCCGCCAACCACCTAGTACACCCGGGAGGATGGGTTGTGCGTTTCCTTGCTGAAAATTCGTACCTACAATTTACCCAGCCTAGGCGTTTTTGTAAAATTTGAAAACGGACGCATGGATCTTTAAATGTTAATGACCTTGCAAAGCCTTCCGAATTTTTCAATATTTTGAATAAAAAACTACACGTACTCTATCGTAAAAAAACCTCTCGTCTTGTCCTCGTATTCTGGGATCGCCTGGGACACCGTAATAATAATTGTTTTGTTGTCCGTATCTTCTACCTTTGTAAACAAACGTCCTGTAGTCTTTATCACCTGGATTCGGAATATTATACGGTTGATTTTGCTGCCCGTATATATTATAAGGGTTTTGTTTATTAGGGGGGAATTGTTCTTGGTAACCGTATTGGTCGTATTGTCCCAATATTATTTCACTAACGAACACTATCACTAACAATAATACTAATTCAAACTGTTGTTGTTTAGGCAGCGCCATGTTTTAGCGATTAAACACGTTTGTATACCTGCGTGTCGTCATCGAAAGGTGTGTACAGGTAACCAGCTGCCTGTCGGTGTAGACAATACAATATACATCGACTTTTCAAATAATCCTTTTCTAGGAAACTACGTTAATCGAAAACTTTCTTTTAAATTGCAAATAACACCGATATTATTGAAAAAAATTACCATCCAAAGCAACAAACGCCCTCTTTTTTTACAAATCTCTTGCTAAAAATCTACTAACGGAAATTATTTTCAAGTTTAATTAAAAGAAAAAACAAATAAGCGCAATAATTAGTCAGAACGATGACACACTCGACACAATGCATCCGATCACTGACTTCGCTGGCACACCCGCAACATTTAGTATCCAGTTTGTTATTAAAGATAAAAGTAGGTGAATTTCCATCTTATCTCGCTGATATAAACTCACATGGCATATTTTTAATATTTCCTGCCGCTGTAGATTTTCAACGTTGACTGAAATATCGTTTCAATCTTTTTACTCATCCATTAATTGAATAGAATGAATGAATGATTCTTTGGTAGTCGGCGAGTGTGGTTAATTGAATATGTTTTTTAATTGCTAGGAGTCATTTCATAAAGATTCAGGGACGTAATGGTCTCGACAATAATAAGGATGTTATTAACTCTTTAAAAAAATCGCATTCCTCGTCATGATCGTCGTCTTTCTAGTGGTATTTACAGTTAGTTACATTTACAAGTACATAAAATATCTTTAGTTTATATTTTCATCTTCATTGATAAATTAATTTAGTTTTGTTTTTTTGTTTCCAGTTTTTTTTCAATTGATATTTTCATAATCATTAGATGATCGTTTAAAATTAAGATGTATACAGCTTGATTGATTATAAATACATAGTTCAGAAATAAATAAGCTACACTCAAAACGAAAAATACTTTTTGGTATAATTTCGAAATAATACCTACAATTCAAGAGTTATAATTATCGGATAATAATACTGGGAAATTATGAAATGATTTGCAAAAAAAAGTGCAAAAACATATGAATTTAACCTCATTGAAATTTGCAAAAAAAAGTGGTAGTATCTGCTTTGGATTGCTGCGCATTTAAAAATTGAACTTAATTTTTAAATGCTTTTTTAATTGTGTTTAGTTTTGGTAGTCACAGAACGTGTAAAAAGTTAAATGTCAATTTTTTGAGAAAACAAAGTTGGTATTATAAAAATTTAACCGAATTTAAGTTTTAAATAAAAAAAAAGGAAGATGGCTCCCGACTGAAACTTAAAAAAAAATGCATTCTCTTTGCTCTAGCGCACTGATAATGTTATTTGTGGTTATGTTTGGTTAGTCAAACCGGACGTTGAAAAAATTAAATTAGAAAAGAAAGTGACACCCGATTGAAGTTTCCAAAAAAAATTACGTTGTGTCGCCTCAACTGCACTAAAAATATCTTTTTTAGCTGTGTTTAATTGGTTACTGGACCCTAAAAAGTTAAATTAGTACCCGCAAAATGTAGATTTTTTTAGAAAAAAAAGTTGGTATTATTAAAATTTATTTTTTAATTTTAAATGTAAAAAAAGCAAAAGTAAATAACACCTGAATCACATTTTTTATTATATCCTTATAGTCATGTTTAGTTTTGTTAGTCCCAATTTACGTTTAAAAATGAAATTGACGCCCGCAAAATGTCAGTTTTGAAAAAACACTTCATTGAAATTTCCAAGAAAAATTCGTTTTTGTAAAAAATAAATATGCTAAAATCAAAACAAAAATATGTTTGTCTGTAATTTCTAAATAATACTTATAATTATCGTACATTTAAAAAGGCAAAATAATAAAATAATAAAATGTTGTTTTTTGGATAATTCTAGTGATTTAGCTTAAAGCCAGAGCTTTAAGAAAGAAAAAATAAAAAAATCTTATAAATACCAATAACCAATCTTTTAATTGATAGAAAAGTAGTTACTATTCAGTATTTTTTTTTATTAAATACTTTTTAATAAATAATTATAATTAATATGTATAACATTATAAATAGGGGAGAGTGGGGCACGACGGCCAGAAGCTTCGCCGAAATTTAGGTAAATTTGGTTAAAAGTTAGTCAAAAATTAATCGACTTGATGGTTAAAAGCCACAAAAAATAATAAAAAGTGGGCCTTGCCTCACCCTCCCCTACTCTACCGCACTGATTATATTTTTTCGTCGCGTTTAATTTTGGTTAGTCAAAAGGGACGTTTAATACCAGCCAAATGTTTTTTTTTGAGAAAAAAGGTTAGCATTATTAAAATTTGGTCGAATTTATTTTTTAGTTTTAAATCAAAAGGGGAAAAGTAAATGACCCTGATTGAAATTCGCAAAAAATGCACTTTATCTCTACCGCTCAAATTATATCTTTTTAGCAGTATTTAGTTTTAGTTTGTCAAACTGGACCGTTAAAAAATGAAATTGGTACCCGCAAAATGTCAAAGTTTAAAAAAAAATGCGACACCTGGTTGAAATTAATAAAAAAACAAACGTTATACCTCCAACCGCACTGAATATATTTTGCTTAGGTGTGTTTAGTTTTGGTTAGTCATTGGACTTAAAAAAGTGAAAATATTTTTTTTTTGAGAAAAAAGGTAAATATTATTAAAATTTGTCCGAATTTAGTTTTAACTTTTAAATGCAAAAAAGGGGAAAAGTAAATGACACCTGATCGAAATTTGCAAAAAAATGCACTTTATCCGCTCCACCGCACTAATTATATCCTTTTAGTAGCGCTCAGTTTTAGTTTGTCAAACTGGACGATCAAAAAACGAAATTAATACCTGCAAGGCCTCAAAAGTTTTCAAAAAAAAAACACCTGGTTGAAATAAAAAAAAATGCGTTGTATCTACGCTACGTAGTTAACATATTTTTTTAGTGGTGTTTAGTTTTGGGCCCTGAAATTAATATATTTGCAAAGAAAATGTTTGCTTGCCGCCTTTAAAGTTGCGTTTAGTTTTGGTTGGTGGATTTTTTGATTCGATATTCATGTTATTTTTCTATTCCAGTACTTTTGTAAGAGCTTATGGATAATAAACATTTAACAAATATCGTCCAGACCTCCTAACCCTCACGTGGTGCGTCGACTAAATATCCGATTTCTTTTCACGCCACATTCCTTTGTCATCGCGCACATTTTGAACGGGCTAAGTTGCACATTTTATTTGGAGCGGCTCTCTCGAAAGAAAAGCACAACGTGACGTCACCCGCCGCATGCACTTTGCCGCCTTTCGATTGGGTCTCATCCGCGGTGGTAGGGGATAAAAGCACCATGTGCCCCGTGTTGATTTCAAATAAATGTCCACTTCGGTTTCGTGAATTGGGTCGGTAGGGCGAACGTTAATAATAATCATGCCGGACGAAAATCGTATAATGCCACGCGACGACGACAGCGTCGAGTTTTATCTCGCCGCCCTTTTTGAAAAATTCGAATCCGTGCGAAAAGAAACGGTGGAAGGCGGCGCGGGGGCGGCGAAAAAAGTTCCGTTCCGCACGGAAATAATTACGTTTAATTTTTGGAAATCCGTCATTTCGGAATGTCTCGCGTCTTTTATTTACGTGTTTTTGGTGTGCGGCGCGGCTGCAGGCTCGGCCTCCAATAACGCCCTGTTGGCCACCTCGTTGGCGTCCGGTTTCGCGATGACCTTCTTGACTCACATTTTCGGACACGTATCAGGTAATTTTTTTGTCTTAACTTACCGAAGCATAACTGTTTGCTTAACCCACGAAACATTTTTACCTCCATGACATTATAACATACAAAAACAAAATATAACGCCAAAACTAAAAGCAAATTATATAAACACGGCTTTGGTGACAGGCTTCAGTTTTGAAACAATTTAGCAAAATCAATCCTGTAGGTGTAGCAGTTCACACTATGAGGTCTTTCGTATTCTGTATCTTTCCAAACATTGCACAAGTGCAGATGTTTAATATCCAAGTATCTACAATCGAAACTCTATATAACATCTACTTAGGAACATTTTATATAAATATTTAACAACTACATTTAATGTTTTAAATAATCGGTCAGTTTCTTTTAAATTTTTTTAGTATGCCAATACACCAATTTCTCTAGCAGCTTAACTGAATATAGGGCTTGCTGAAGGGTTGGTGGTGGTCCCAGATCAATTACTTCATCTTCTTCCTCACCCTTTCTTGCTCCTCACTCGTAAACGTAAATTGTTTGAAACTGCTTTTTCCATTTGCTTAGCGGCTGATCATCTTCCAAGTCCTGTTCGCATTTTGTCTCTGTAATAAGTCCTGCTTGACGATAGGAGTGTTGAATTGTTTCTGCTGTCACCTCTTTCCAAGCTTTACTAATAAAGTTGGCTGCATCTAGCATATTAATGGAAAATTTGTCTTCGGACTCGATCATTTCATATGGGAATGTGCGGGGCAGTTATCTAAGAGAAGTAATATTTTCCTCCCCTTTAATTCTGCATCCGATTTCCGTATCTCCTCTTCAAAAATTTGCGATGTCATTCATGCAGACTTGTTTGCCTTGTAAGTGACCGGCAAATGCTTGATTTTCTTAAAACATCTTGGGTTAGTTGATTGTCCCATCACGACTAGCTTTCTTTTTTCTCTCCCACTCATATTGGCAGCTACTAGCACTGTTATAAGTTATTTAGAAAGTTTTCCACCCACACACTCTTCGCTTTGAACTTTAAGGGTTTTATCTGGCGTCATTTTGTAAAAAATACCAGTTTCGTCAGCATTAAAAATGTACTTTTCGCCACTTATCTGTCCATAATTTATACCAAGTCTCTGTTTAAACTTCCCCAACCATCCTTGCGAAGCCTTGAAATCGATAATGCCGAGCTGTTCAGCAAACTTTTCTGCTTTTAGTGTTACGATAGGTCCAGAGAGTGGTACATTTTTAAGACGTTGCTGTTGGAACCATTGCAACATTGCCCTATCCAAATCTTCAAATTTTAGCATCCTTAGTTTTTTACTAGAACTGCCTGCCCCTTCGGCCTGAATGATTTTTTCATTACACTTCCAGATGGTGGACAGTGTAAGTCCGTACCGACGTCCCACATCACTTTTCTTTTCTCCCCGTTCTATCTCCCGAATTAAAGCAATTTTCGGCCTACATTCCTTACTTTGTTACCTGATTTGCCGTTTTTTCTTTCGGTGTAGAGAGTAAGAAATTCGTTTCTACAGAGTGGATTAATACATGGCTTTGTATGGAGACCTAATTCTATTCAAAAAATATCTTTTTGACCTCAGGAACTTAAATTGAAACTACTATCTCAAATATCTGATGTTTTGTGGGAAGTTACAAAACTTTTTAAAAATGTATAAATTAAATTAATATTTTTATTGCATCTTTACTATCCAAAAAACAAGAAACATTAAAATGTAATCATGAATAATATTAACAAAATAGAATAATAGGTGAAGTATCACCCAAAGGGCGCTTTTAAACATAACCTCGTGGCCACCATTCTAAACAATCAAGGAACATTCACGTTCCTTATACAATCCATATCATTATAATAAAAAAAAAACGTCCTTATAATGAAAATTAGAATTTTCTAACATATTTTTCTAATTAAGTAAGGATACGTCGTTTGAGGAGGTGAAGGTATATCAAAGATTTAAGCTTCAGACGTTTCTGTTAAATTTTCTAATATTGCAACAAAATCTAAAGCAAAAATTCCAAACTTTCTGGAGTATATCACTATCCATCTCCGTTAAAGCCAGGCCAAAAACTGTATGATAGTTTGAAGATAGCTAGTTGCTCGCTCAGCGATAATTTTAGATTGGAACCCATTATTTCAAGATTTAGATAGAGTTCTAAGTAACCCATAGGATTGTTGACAGAGTCAATTGATATGTTGCGTGAATTGTTTAAATTGCAAATGTCCCTTAAATAGTATTCAATGTCATAAGAGGCCATAATTGACAGCATTAATTTACTACAAGTTACAAAATATACTAAGCCTATTTAAATAATTAATAGTAGATAATCAGAAAGTAACCAAAAAAGCCCAAATCTCAGCTCTTATCTACCAGCTAATCTTTAAAACAGTTTCAAATAATGCTGCATGTTGAGTCGAGTGGTAGATTTAAAAGTAAATATTGTGGAGTTCCGCTTCTGGGTATTTTATGCAGGTGACAAACCAAATGGAGCTTTAATCGATTTTGCATATTTAGCCATTTTAAATCTTTTATCTTACGACTCATGCCTACTCTTGATTTAAGGTTAAAAATAAAGCGAATGCGAATCTTTTCTTAGACTGAAGATCAAAATAACGAAACTTACTCAGTTGTCTTTTTAAAGATGTACACACAAAATATTGTTAGCCTTTTATAAGTTTTTTAGAGAAATTTACAAACCTGATTTTTGAATCCAAGAAAAAAACTTTGAATTTTGTATTCGTATTGCATATTAAGGTTTGTTTTTTATTTATTTCCATAAACGGGATGTGTGTGCATATTGAACGCAGCTGGTTGACATTTAAGCGGCAACTTATTTATGTGCGCGTCATCGTTTAAATTTGACACCACTTTTTATGACGAACTTCGACCACATGTGGATTCGAGACCAAAAGCAGTAGCGATAACGTATTTTGGTGGACGGAGAAGCTCTATTATGTATTTATTTATGCTCCTGCACCAACAGGTACTTACAATACAAGAGTGCTTACTAATATCTACATTTATAAGTCAAGTTACATTAAAAAAAGACGACTACACAAAATCGGATTGAAACTAGCTTTTGGTACTTAATAGAAAGATTTTATGGCAAAAGTATTTGTCTTAAATAATTTTTTATCAAAACACTTTTAAACATACACACCAAATAGTTTGTGTTCTACAATTTTTGGAACACGGGTTGAAAGTCTATGAATTAAATGACTTAAATGACACATTATTCAAAATACACTGGATAATTAAAACACTCAATATTGGATTAGAGGAGATTCCTTAACAACGAAATATCTCAAAACTTTTATTATCATATTATTTTCCCTTTCGCTGTGGACATTCTGTATACTACGATCGCGTTCACACGTAGTTGATTAAGTGTCGGTTAGAATCGGTATACTTACTTACCTCTTAAAAAATCTTATCGCCTGCTTCCAAGCAACTTAAGTATAGCCCTTACTTCGACTTAGTTGTTTTATATCTTCTTGGCATATATATTGGTTAATAAAAAGTGATTTTTTAAAGAAGTTATTTGAGTTACTTGAAAATTTGAAAGAGATAAAATTGGTTGAATTAAAAACAACTATTTTTAAGTATACATTTTTAATTATTTCGATTTTTGGCACATTTTTTTAGTAGCAAACAATTTTAAATTTAGGACAAACTACACTGCTTTGATGTTTTTTTTTACGTTTAATGCTGACCAAAATCACGGCCCCGTATATAAGCTGTTATTGGTACGAGGTCGTGACATTTAAAGTGTTTAAATTTAAGATTATCCTAATATTCCAGGCGCCCACGTCAATCCCGCAGTTTCGGTTGCAATGGGGGTAATAAAAAGGATATCCATATTGAGAACCGGCATGTTCATCCTCGCTCAATGCGGGGGTGGAATTGGTGGGGCTGCCTTTATTTACGGGTGAGTTTTTCACTTTTAAGTAGTCTAGTCCAATATAAAAGATTTTTGGAAAAAAAGTCTTCCTATAGGTTGTTATTAACAATTACAGATCTACAAAACCCATACTTAGGTAAAGTCTGTTCATAGATATAAGAAAGTGACTAACTGACACGAATTAAGGAAAGACCCGGGCAAGCTGTAAGAATGAAATATGCCGAACAGGTCCGTACTTTGCTTAGAATTTAATTATTGGGGGTTTTTTTAGGAAAGATACTAAACAATATTTATTTATTTATGTATAAATCTAATATAAAATTACAAAATTTGCCCAACTTTATGGAGGGATGTTAAAAACTTCGGTTTCTATAAGTTTGAGAACATTGGAGTTAACACAGGGAAAAACATTGTTACGACGAATGGCAGATTTCCGTTGGTGCCAAACATGTTCAATGGGATTAAATATACAGTGGTAAGGTGAAAGCCTTAAAACTGTATGCCCTAGATATTTTGCATAATTATCACAGATGTATTCCTTTTGTAGGTTCAAGCTTTGGCTTTTGGCATTTAGTTTTGGATTGTTGCTTTTGTGTCACACGAGGAAAGGGTTTTAGTTAACTGTCTACTATAATAACTTGCATGTTTGGAACTAGTTTGTTTTTAAATCAACATTCAAATAAATCAGCGGTGGTATCTTCATGGTAATCCAGAGAAAGTCCATTTAAAATCCAACCATCTTTAGAGCCAGCATGCAAAATAGTTATTCTTTTACCTCTTTTTGATGGCCCGTTTGTTTTACACTTATCAGTTGAGTCAACCCAACCCTTTTCCGGGGTATCATCAGTGTCGAACCAGGTTTCATCCAAGTAAATAATTGGCCTTTGTTGTTCTCTGTAAATCCTATTTTTTTCTAGATATTCCAGTTGCCATTTCCGAATTCTAAATGATTCCATTAAAACTTGCCTTTTGTCAATTTTTTTAAATCTAAAACCCATGTGTTGAATACAATTCCATAAGGTAGTTCTGCCACATTCAACACCGGTTTCATCTTTTTCAAGCCTCCTAATTAATATATCTAATGCAGGCACGCTTTGTTCCTCGTATAACTGGTAAATTTTACGCCGTATTATATCTTGATTACTTTCATTTACACTCGAGAAAATGTCAGCATCGCTTCTTTTTTTCCTCCCTGAAATGGGATTATTCACAATTTTCTATACAATTTATGTTGGAATTTTGGCCAATGTGGCCGTTTCTTCTAAAGATGCTTGTTTGCTGCCACCATGTTCAATGAGAGTCAAATAAACATTGTTTATAACTTCCTTACTCTCAATAGGATAGTGTTTTCTACATTTGTGCGGGAGCATCTCCTGAGATACACTAGACTCGCACATATTTTGCATAATTCGCATACGAATCAACACACGCTGTATTAAACACGAAATAAGAATGACTGCTAATAAACTTAAACGAAGTAGTATACCAAACCAAAGAATATTAAACACAAGTAGGTATAAAATTATTTTCTATTACGGACCACAATTTTACTTGAATTTAAATTCCGAAACTTTAGGTAATAATCTTGTTGTATTGAATGTTAATGACCACCCTTGGGTAATCCCATTCAAAAGCAATTGCTCACTTTCTTATATCTATGAACAGACCATACAATGAGGGCAACCATTTATTATTTCATTTATTTCTTTTCCCAGTGTTTTGAACGAATCGAATAAAACCACAATTTTTAATATTTCTTATTTATTTATATTTGCTTTTATAAAATTTAATGATTTTATATTTGGAATATTTGCTTTATTTGCTTTTCACTTTCCAATCCCGCCAAATTTCCAATTGTTAATAATAAATTATGCGAATCAAATTTTTCAAACCGTCCAATATTTAAGCAACCTGAGATAAATCAAAAAAATATTTTTTTCGAAACATCCTGTGGTGCGTGTTGTTTGGGTTCGGAATTATTGTGATGGTTGGTCAAATTATTCTATACAGACTCAGTTTGTTTAGTGCGTATAATTAATCCTACGAACTAATGACATATGTTCCATTCAATTTAATTCAATTAATGTTGTTTGGATTAATTTCGGCCTGAGCCTATTTGCGGATCGTAACGATATTTTTTTTCATTATTAATTACGCTGTTGAATAACCATTTATCGCATTTAGGATTCATCTTCTCCACGAACGTCGGAACAAAACTGTCTAAACATAGACGCTAATAAAAACGATCGCTGAACTGTTGGATGTCTGTTAACTTGGTATTCACTGACGAATTAAATTAAAATGCCAATAAAGCAATTGGACGGTGTCAAAGGTTAATAGGGAATACCTAAGTAGTTCGTCCGCAATATGCTGAAGTGCTCTGATTTGGTTTAAAATTTATTTTTTGTTATTTTGCAACAGCCAAAAAACCAACGTTTGAATTTTTCTGAACAATTTCTATCCTTTCCCTTTGCATAAATCTTCTGTTTTTTGTTCATAACTTCTCAGTGAGGCGAGTGAGAGATATGTTCTTATTGAAATTATTTGCACATTATTATTTGGTGATCAAAGAATGCTAGTAAAAAATAATATTGATATATTTTTTCAAAGAAACTTCTATAGGCTACTGTATACATTTTATAAAACTTCTGGATTCCTCCTGCGTCGGTTTTTGTTGAGTCGAACTAGCTAATGATTGCCGAAACGTTAACTAGTTCGATTCAACAAAAACCGACGCAGGAGGAATCCAGAAGTTTTACAAAAAGTAACATTGATATACTTAAAAATTCAAAATATTTGAGTCCTAGTTTTTAGTTTAAAAAAATATTAGTCAGAAAATGGTATAGTGTATAAATACATATTTACCGAAATAGGTCTATTTGATCAATATTTTGTATTTTTTGAAAAAACTACAAAAATACAGATTAATTTTTATTTTTAAATAACAGGTAGTTCTAAATAATAATAGTATTCGTTATTTTGTATCTGCCATTAAGTATTCATGTGTATTACAAAAGAAAGTAATCCCCACCCATCGCACTCTTAACAGAATTTTCCTCAAAAAATGGTCATTGCCTTTAGACTATGATAAATTCATAAAAAAAATGAAATGAAAAGTTGCTATGAACATAACCCATTTATTTACATAATTTGTCGACATATTTTGTTTTCTGTATAACGGGATGAAACTTGCACACAGTAATTACGTCATATGGACCACTAATTATGATCAAAATCTGTTAACGTTTTAAATAGGCACGCGTTGTGTGCATAAACACGGCAAATCTGTCGTTGATTTTGATTGATGAAAATGGTTTTCTTATTAATCCAAAAATGTTAAAATGCACGTGAATAGCGTTCAGATCAATATCGCCGTGAATCTGCCCGTTTTTATCAAGTGGGTTTTGTTTAAGAAAATTGAAAACCATCTGTCGGGCAAGATCGGTCTGCTTTAAGCACGCATCTCCCACCTGCCGTTTTCAGCTGTTGCGTTTAAAACATTCCGTTCATCCGCATATCGGAGACATTATGGGCGGGCTCTTGTACGCCGAATACGTCTTTCTTTCGTAAGGTTTGTTCCAACGACAAAAACACGCTTGAATTCGCCACAGAAACACAACTAATTTTCCTACATTTGAATAAAACTTCTAATTTTTAGGAAGAATTTTTTTCTCTTCTTGTTAGAGTATTATAATTAACAATTTGTTTTGGAACGCGTTTAAGCTTACTGCTCAGAATCCGTGGTGATCACGGACAGTTCTTGCTATATGTTTTGGCAACAAGTTTTCCGATTCCCTTATTTTAAGAGCGTGCTTTAGCAGGATGCGTAAGGCGAGTTTATTCAAATTCATTTCGGAGTTTGTATAAGGAAACGTAAATAAAATCCAACCTAAACTTCTTACTACACACATGAACTGTACGTAGTATAAAAGAAGGTCGACAAAGAAAGGGTCTTTCAGCTACCTGAAAGTAATTTACCTGGAGAAACGTAATAGGCCAGGATGGCGAACATCTGTCGTTCTTAAAAGATTGTATCCTCAATATTATCTAAATAATAGCGGGTGGAGAAGCAAAGGAATATTTACAACCTTCATTCGTTTGGTACACAGCCGACCTTTGCCGATTACTTTTTCGGTGGTCTCACATGGAATGGTGAAACCGGGTGGAGGAAGACACCGGGCTTCAAAATATAAACAAAACAGAGTCGAGTTGAGTTTTGCAGAAGGTGGTGGTAAAATTCCCGGAAATCCCGACAACTGATGAGAATTTGGGGGGAAGAATTTTTAGAAATAACTTAATATATCATTACGGATCAGCAGGTGTGTGAATAAATTTCCGGATGTTGATTCTTTGGATTTTAAGTGGTTCTGTTAATTAATAAAAAGGAATTGTTTTTTGGTTGCGAGGATTGCAACAGATGTTAGTGGAAAATGTTCCCTACGTGGAGAACGTATTTTCCCGCGTCTCAGTTAAATACAAATCTTGCTCTTATTACTCAAATATCAAATCAAATTACGCGAACTCCTCATTTGGCCTTTTTATCCCTAAGTTTATTCAGTAATGTTTGAGATTCCGAAATTAAAACGCGAACCGCTCTGAATTGTTTTTCAACTCTGTATAAATTCTGGCAAAAATATTCTACCATTTTGTTTACAGTAATTTTATTTTTATCACTACGGAATATCTACTGTTTGAAATTGCAATGGAAAAAAAATATAGAAAATTCAATTTGCACTTTTTCAAAAATGTGGGTGGGGGGGGGGGGGTCGGTATAATAAATTGTAATCCCTAATCCCTGAATTGGCCAATTTCCTCAATGGTTAGTTATAAAATCTGCATATCTCATGAGACACACCCCTTATAAATAAAAAAGTGACAATGGCACGACCCCTCGGACACAAATTTGGGGTCACGCGGCCCCATAATCACGCCGTTGTACTCCTGATATCGTCAATTGTCACGTTTTTCACCCTCTCGCTCGCTCTTACTTAAATCGATAGAAAGGGATGGCGCTACGCGGACTGAGA